GAACTACCCAAGGGTGTTATAGTGCTAATCACCACTATCCTCTTATCTTAAAAGTTATTTATTGATTATTTCAGTACCATCTTGCTTTTCACCTCCAAATTAGACATTGTTGCTGTTTTATAAATCTCAAACTTCCTTCTGGGATCATTTTTTCTTTATCCTAATGTATACACTTAAAACCTCCTTTAGCCCGGCCGGGCGTGGCTCAGCGGTTGAGCATTGACCTAGGATCCAGGAGATCGCTGTTAGATTCCCGGTCATGGCACATGCCCGGGTTGCGGGCTCCATCCCCAGCAGGGGGGCATGCAGGAGGCAGCCGATCATGACTCTCATCATTGATGTTTCTCTCTCTCTCCCTCTCCCTTTCTCTCTCTGAAATCAATGGATATATTTTAAAAATAAATAAATAAAAGCACAGCTAGTATCACTTCCTAATTATTTTACTGCATTTTACTGTGATCTATGATCTTGATGTTGTGTTTACTGGACCTGTCTGATGCCATGTTGGTAACTTGAAAATATATGTATTTCTTGTTGTTTATTTCTTAAACTTTTTTATTGTTAACTATAGAAAACCATATAAAACAAGCATGCAGTTTAATGAATAATTGTAAGGCAAGACACCTTTGTAACTGCCATCCATGTCAGAAAAAGAACTATGGCCAACCAACCACCCCAAAAGCTCTCCATCTGCTCCCCCTCTCCTAAGAGCAACCATACTTCTGACTTGTACTGTAATCACTTCAGGACTTCATGGTTTCGTCACCTAAGCATGCATCCATAAACACTGTGGTTTAATTTCACCTATTATTTTTATATGGCTTTTACCTCTTTTTAATCTGTAGGTTCCCTGTCTACCTCTTTTCTTTCCTTTTACAATTGTTGGAAAAACTGGATTGCTTATCTGTGGCATCTCCCATGATCTGGATTCTGCTGATTGCATTCCTCTGGGGTAGCTCAACATGTTCTTCTGCCTGCTGCATTTCCTGTAAATCAGTAGGTGGACCTGGAGGCACATTCCTTACTATTAACAACAGTGACAACAAAAACACTAATTCAGCAAACATATATCGAGCACTTCTTACATGCCTGAATGAGATGTTATAAAAATACAAAGTAATTTTTAAGGCAACCGACAGAATCTTTTTGAGGGACAGATTGTTATAGTTCATGCTATAGCATTAGCTCGGTTGCCAACTCAGAAAGCATCGCCAAAAGTGTTAGACCTTATATGTGAAATATATATTAACTGATGAAGGGACTCCTGACAATAACATAGACAGAGTACAGCAATGCCTTCCGGAAGAAATTATCAACTACATAACCACTTGTATAGAAACCTGTTTTGCAAGGCTGGTTTTAATAATGGTACATTCACCAATATCACTGGCAATGATTGCAGATTTCATAGGAACAGTTGGTAGGAACTCAGCAATAAAGTATTTTTAAAAAGAAGAGGAAATTTCAATACATATTTCTAAATAATCAGAACCTTAAGTTTTTTTTAAAAAGGACACAGAATAATAAGATTCTATAACTTTTTCCTATGACGAACCAATATTACAGTCTCCCTAACTAATGCTAATTATTACTAGAATAATATTGGCAACTTGAAGAAATGTTGATTTGCTTAAAAATCAAACGTGAAGGCTTCCTGTTCATGAACAGAACTTGGCTAAAATATTTAAAGTGTGCTTTAATTTTAAATAGTTTTGTGGCTTATTCTCATAATGTACTAGTGAACATTTTATGTTATATATAATGTTTATAGAATTAATGAAGTTTTAGTAACAAGACTTACTTCACTTCTATTAATTATTTGCTTAAAAGTAAGGGGGGATGCTCAGATTTGTAGACCAGGAAGATATGAGAGAATGAAGATTGCCCCCAAACCAAAAATTTTCAACCCTACTCCATAAATTTACAGTATTATATTCAGCTATGATTCATAGAAACGACATTAAGTTTAAAATATTCATGTGTGTCATTTTTTTAAAGTTCTCCAAAAGTAAGTCATTTCCTCCTGTATTTTTGGAAAAGTGAATATTCATTTCTCCCTGGTAATATTAAATTATGACAATCTTTGGCATTAAAATTAACCTGTCAAATTATATTCTCTAACATTTACAGAGGTATGAGGAACTTCTAAAAGTGAAATAATCAAGTTATGATAGTTATGGACCAGACTCAAAAACTAAATTCCAAAAATTACACCATTCCATCTCAGAATACTAAGACTCAGATACAACCTGAGCTTATTTTGGATCAATGATTATTACAGGTTTCTATAAATAAAAAACCTCCAGCATTAAAAGTTGTTGGGTCAGCATTTCCGGAAATCCGTGACTAATGCCATTATACTATCTGTTCCAGGGGGGTTTGTTATGACATCATCTCTTGAGAAACTTTAAATATTAATCCATAGGTTATTCTCGGCATGCAGTCCATTACTTTTGTCTCATTCAGAGCGCCTTCTCATTTAGCACAAATAAGTCAGTGTAATTCTTTGAGCATGCTTGGGAAGATAGGGTCAGATGATGATACCGAGGTTTGCATTCATTTAAAGGGAACGAGAGACTACATGCTGCCCGTGCCTTTTGCCTTCACAGATTATTTCCAAAGGCGCAGCATCAAATGAGTATGATTTCTGACAAAAATTTTACAGTGTCACCCCCAGGAATAGATTTCTGTCATTTGAGTAATTTTGGAATAAATGAAATCATGGTATTTATAGTTCCCTTCTAAAGTCATACCAGCCTTTATCCGGAGGGTAATTTCTCTCCCTGTCTCAAATGTGATTCCCCTCCCAGGCTGTGGCAGGTGCTGGAGATGTGCCGCCCATATCCCTAACTTCCAGCTTACCAGCCCCTGACCACCTTTCCTTTTCTCTATAAAATTGTTTTCACATTTAGCAGCATTGTTAGGAAGACTCCTGCGATGTACTGACGGTAAACATCTTTATATTTTTTTATTTGGGGGGAATAATTGCCACATTTTATTAAGGGAGCTGAAATAACATTGCTTGTGCCATCTCAACCCCTCAGCCCATGTCGCATCCTTCTAAACCTGGGAAAGTGTGATTTCGTAAATTGTCAGTATAGACAGACATTCTAAGAACCACAGAGAGAAGAGTGGATGGATCAAGAGACAAATGCAAAACCTGGAAAAGGAATCAATATTGGAACCAACAGGTAAAACAGTTGCTTTGGTTTCTGTTTTTGCTTTTGGTAAGCAGACTGGCTTTTGTTTAGGGCATTGGCGGCTGGAGCTGGCTCCGCTGGTTTTTATGGGGCAGGCGGGAAGGGCCAAGGAATCCATGCCCCTCAGCAGTGGCAGTGGCTCTGGCTCTGCCTCTTCCTGCAAGAAGCTGGTGTACAAATATCCCAGCTCCTTCTGTCTTTTGTGGAATAACTGAGGTGTGCATGTGTGCGGTACACTGGCCCTCGGAATTGCCCCGCCACGATTCAGTTCAGCCGCCCAGCTTGGTAATGCACTTGTTCTGTTGGCCGCCTTGCCTTCCTGTCTCACTTCCCCAGTAACTCCCTGTGTGTGTGTGTGTGTTTGTTTAGGGTTTTTTTGTACCTTCTAAATAAACTACTTGCCCTGGAATCCTTGCCTCCGAGTCAGCCTCTGGGAAAACCAAAGACTCAGCAGCTCTTACTGCTTTGGTTTACTCTGTGTTGTTTCCTGGCTTTATAGTGCAGTGAAGAGAGCAACTGTCAGCTTTGTTAGGAAATGACTTTTTGGCTCCTTCTGAACCGACTCTCTTCTTTTTATACCGTGTCAAGAAAAACCATTTAATTCTTTGCTAACCCTCCAAGGAATGGAAGCCTCCAGGTGAATTTGGCTGCCTGGAGAGTGTTAAAAGGGGTCTCTGGTGTCTCTAAAGTCCAATCAAGTTTCTGGTCAGCCCTTAGTGATTTCAGGGTGTCTTCCAGCTTTAAAATTCTCTGAGTTTTAGCAACAATTCTATAGAAACTAGTCCAGAAAATTGAATAGGAGGGAGTACTTTCCAGCTCATTTTGAGGACAATATAATACCAAAACCAGACAAAAGCACTACAAAAAAGAAAACTGCAGAACGGCATGCATGAACTTACACACCAAAATTCTCAAAACAATTTAGCAGATGGAATTCAGCAATATATAAAAAGAAGTTTATAATAGGACCAAGTGAGGTCTATTCCAGGATATAAAGGTTCAATATTCAAAAATCAATCAGTGTAATCAATCATATCAACAGTAGAATAATTACATGATAATATAATTGATGCAAAAAAGCATTTAACAAAATTAAATACCCATCCATAATAAACACTCTCAGCAAATTATGAATATAGTGGAACTTCCTCAACTTGATACCATGTCTTTTTTTCTTTTTCTTTTTTGTGACCTGAGTAGTCTGGAAAAGGAAATTACTGACATTTCAAAGGTATATTATCTTAGATGCAAATATGTTACCGGGCTGCTTCCGCACCAAGGGCTGGTCTTGCCCAGGCAAGGCCCAGGACCTTTCAGTGTCAGGCCACCTGCAGGTTACTGACTCATGCAGGGACGATTTCAAGACACACACAAGTCCAGGTGAAAGTGAGAGTATGAGAGTACGTTTATTAAAGCCTGGGATAGTGAGGCAAAGGAAGGGCCCATGGAGACAGGATCCCAGGCAAGCCCCTGTGTGCAAGTCTCCTTGGGACCCTTAAAGCTTAAGAGAAAAGAAGCAAAGTACACATCTGAGAAAAAGGGAGGTCTGGGCGTGCTTAGAGAAGAGCTCCAGTCTTTTTAATTTAGCTATTCTTATAGGTGTGAAGTGGTATCTCATGTGGTTTAATACAGGGTGGGGCAAGAGCAGGTTACAGTTGTTCATATGGAAACTAATGCAATAATTAATAATAATACAAGAATAAACTGTGTTTTGTGTATTTATAACTGTAAACCTTCTTTTGCCCAACCCTGTTAGGCCTAATGATGGTGAACATCTTTTCATGAGTTTGCCATTCATGTACCTTCTTTTTTTTAATTCTTGCCTGAGGATATTTTTTCCATTGCTTTTCAGAGAGAGTGGAAGAGAGGGAGAGAGGGGGGAGGAAGAGAGAGAGAGAGAGGAACATCAATGTGAAAGACATCAATTGGTTGCTTCTCGTGTGCACCCCGGCCAGGGGTGGGGAGTGAACCCGCAACCCAGGTTTGTGCCCTTGACTGAAAATTGAACCAGAGACCCTTTGGTGCTTAGCCAATGCTCTAACCACTGAGCACGCCAGCCAAAGCTCATCTATCTTCTTTGGTGAAGTGTCTGGTCAAATCTTTTGCCCATATCTTTATTGGGTTGTTTGTTTTCTTGTTGTTGGATATTGAGAGTCCTTATGTACTCTGGATACAAGTCCTTTGTCGGGTATATTCTTTGCAGATTTTCTCCCAGTTTGTGGCTCATCTTTTTATTCTATCACAAGTGTCTTTTGAAGAACAGTTCTTAATTTCACTGAAGTCTAATTTATCAGTTTGTTTTTTAATGGATTATACTTTTGTTGTCCTAGCTAAGAAATCTTCACCTAACCCAAGGTCACAAAGATTTTCCCCTGTTTTCTTCTAGAAGCTTTATAGTTCTATGTTTTACATTTAGGTATATTTTACATTTTGAATTAATTTTGGTATGTGGTGAGCATATGGTATGAGGCATGGATCCAAGCTCATTTTTTTCCTGCATGTAGATATCCAATTACCCCATGACCATATATTGAAAAGGGTATTCTTTTGCCACTGCATTGCCTTTGCACCCTTATAAAAAAGAAGTTGTCTACATATGTGTGAATTTATTTCTGAACTCTCTATTCTGTTTCATTGATCTATTTGTCAGTTTTTTACTATAGAAAAAGAAGCCTGCTGGGACTTTGAAATTGCATTGAGTCTATAGATCAATGTGACAGGATTGACATCTTAATATTGAGTTTTCCAACCCATGAATTAAGTATATCTCTCCATTTTTTTAGGTCTTCTTTAATCAATCTCAGCAATACTTTGTCGTTTTCAGTGTACAGCTCTTTCACATCTTTTGGCAAATTTATCCCTAAGTATTTCATATTTTTATGCTATTGTAAATAAAATTGTTTTTCATATTTTTATTGGAAAGTTTACTCCTTGTCTTTGGTATTCTGCAGTTTTATTACTATGTGTTAAACTGTGGATTTCTTTTAATTACTCTGCTTGGAATTCTTGGGTTTCAGCATCTGAAGTGTCATTCATAATTTCTGAAACCCTCTCTGTTATTGCCTTTTTCTCTGCTATTGGCCTTTTTCTGGAACTCCACTTGGAACATACAGAGTATTTTGGACCTTCTCTATGCTCTAATTTCTCTTAACCTCTAATTAATATTTTCTATCATTCTGTCCTTTTGCCCTATATCGGTCATTTATTTAGATATATCTTCTAATTCTCTAATTTTCTCTTTAGTTCTGTCTGCTGTATAACATCCTTAGTGTTTCTAATTTAAGTTACTTTTTTACTTTATATACTCCTGTATGATTTTCTTGCAAATCTACCTCATGATAACTTCTGTGCCCTTATTCTATCAACCCCATCTTAAGTTCTTTATATACAATAAACAGCATTGTTATATTTTTTATGTGAATGTCTCACTATCTATAGTTTTTTTTATGTGTGTGAGTGTGTGTGCCTGATTCTGAAGTGTGATATTTCTGCTGACCCTGACGGATTTAGCAATTTTTTTCTGAATTTGTAGTTCAGAAACATATGGTAATTCTATGAAGTCTATGAATGCATTCCTCCAAAGAAAACGTTTTGTTTTCTTCTGTCAGTTTTCTGCCAAGGACCACTTTGAACTCTGTCTTTGGCATAGGGTTGGTTTGGAGCCCCAGAGATCCCGGTTCAGATCTGGCCCACACCCCTGTGAACTTGCTCATGCCTGGTTGTTCCCATGGAGCAAACTTCTCCCAGCACCATCTGCAGGGTGGGCTTTTCCAGTTGAACTTCTTAAGGCTGTTGCTCTTTGGCTCTCCTACCTTAATGCGAGGGTCTCCATCCTGACCTCTCCCACTGCTCAAGCTCTAGGCTTTGTCTCCCATCTCCCACAGCAATGGCTCATGAAAACCTGGCTCTAGGCCACCAGGAATCAGCAGCTACCTCCAGAGTAAATGTGATATTTAGCTTTTGTGGGAGGATTTGTGCTTTCCTATCATTTCTATGCGCCCCCCTCCCTGGAATCTCCTTACTTTCTCATCACTACTCTGTATTAAAATATTAAAACTTACTTTTTGGCATTTAATGTGTTCTGAACTAGACGGAGTTTCTCTAAACATCTAGTCCAGCATATTGTTGGAAACACAAGTCCTGGTGTTAAAATACAGTGGGACCTCAGTGTTTGAACGTGATCTGTTCCTGAAGCCCATTCGAGTTCGGAAACGTTAGAAAACCGAGGGATCCACAGCCGACAGCTGGGCCTCAGGATCTTGCCCTCCGTGGAAGCCGTGGGGCACGTTCGACTTCCGAGGCGGGTTCGAAAACTGAAGCACTTCCCTCTGGGTTTACGGCGTTCGTAACCCGAAATGTTTGTCCACGGAGACGTTCGAAAAACGAGGTACCACTGTATTAGTGTGTTTTCCTTCGCATTTTTACTATGCTGATATGCACGGCCAGGCAAAAGTAGGCTTACAGTTGTGAGTTTGCAAAACAGAGTTTATTCTATTATTATTAATTATTATATTATTATTATTGACCTACTTTTGCCCACCCCTATATAATCGGTATAAGAAAACACACCATGCATACTGCTTTATAACATGTTGTTGTGTCATTTAGCAATATATTTTGAATGTCTTTTTACATGAATAAATGTGTCAGTGATGCTGTGGGTAGGGTTACCCAGGAGACAGACTCCGAGACAAGATTTGAGTGCAGGAAATTTATTAAGAAGTGCTCTTAAGATCAACACCATTGGGTTGGGAATAAAGTAGGATTAGGCACAAGGGGAAGTTAGGCAATGGTGCAGTAGTTACAAGGGCTCCAACTGTGGAGGTGGGGACCCTGAAGAGTTGTCCCAGATTGAAGAAAGAAGGCTGAGCCTTTGTACTCCTATGGACTGCCTCCCAGGACAGGGACATGACATTGGGCCAGGCAGCCAACTTCCTGGAATTCCTGGAGATAGCTGGCAGGTGAAAACTGTCAGCATTTCACACTCCTAGTGTCTGGGAATCCTGGGGGAGGCCTGGTGAGGCACATCACAGTATCCACCACAGTTAGGGATTCTTTGGGCTCCAAATAACAGAAAACCCAAACAACTCTTGCTTAACAACTAGTTAATTTTTTTCATTTACTATAAGATCTGCAGTAGATGATTATGGGCATTAACAGCATCTTTCCCTTTTATTAGGAAAGCAAAATCTTTCTCAAAACCCCCAGCAGACTTCTTACATTTCATTGGCCAGAACTGGATCACATGGCTGCTCCTGGGTGCAAGGGAAGCTTGGCAAGTGGGAACAGGACTGTCATGATTTTGTGCCTGGAGCAGTGAACATTGCTGCCCTAAACGGTATCTGGGTTCTGTTACTATAGAAGAGGGGAGACAACTTTACTCTTTTTTTAAATATATTTTTATTGATTTCAGAGAGGAAGGGGGGGGAGAGGGAGAGAGAGAAAGAGAGAGAGAGAGAAACATCAATGATGAGAGAGAGTCATTGATCAGCTGCCTTCTGCATGCCCCCTGCTGGGGATGGAGCCCAAAACCTGGGCATGTGCCCTGACCGCAAATCGAACCGCAATCTCCTGGATCCTAGGTCAATGCTCAACCGCTGAGCCACGCCGGCTGGGCAGGGGAGACAATTTTAGATATGCAACTAACATATCCTGCTACAAACAGACTTCTACAAAATTATTTTGAACAATTGGATATGGCTATGACTCACTGAAACAGTCCCCATATTGCTGGACATTTTGATTGTTTCTAACGTTTTGCTATTATCCACTGTGCTGCAATGAGCATTCTTGCCTGCTCATATCCTCAATCATTTCTTCATGATGAAATGCCAAATATGTAATTTCTGGGCCAAGAGAATGTACCTTTTTAAGGATTTTGATCGAGATTACCAAGATGTGCCTGAGAAAGATTCTACAAATGTATGTTTCCAGGAGCCGTGAACAAAGAGGCCAGATTCCCCTAGATTCCTTATCGACACTGGATATGATCATTCTTATTAATTTTCGTCAGACTTATAGTCTAAAAAAAGCACCTTGTTTTAATTTGCATTTTGATTACTTCGTATTTATCATATTGATTCATTTTTTGAAGCGTGATCCAAAAATACAGTTTGTATGGCTGCAGTGTTTTGGAAATCAGTGAGAGACTCTGCTTTGCTATTGTGCTGTAAAGCGAAAGCGTAATCACGGCAGGTCTACAGTTAACCTGAGCTGCTTGGTTAAATTAAAGCTCCTGGCTGGCATGGCTCCTGGTCAAAGCATGAAGCATTGATGTATAGCGTGTCTATGCAACTATGAGTCCAAAGAGTTTCAGGGGAGTTTGACCCAGCCTGTCAACATTGCTTATTAATAACAATGCACTTGGAGAGTTGCACCTGGTCTGGGTGTGATAGTCACCAGCCCCCCGCCCAGGGTTCTGCAGGGCTATGCCTCGGTGACAAGCAAAATATAAACAACCTCAGCAGACTTCATTTTTGTCTTCCTGGTTCCGAAGTGTTCTGTGCGCACAGCACGGGCTCCCGGTCCACGGACATCTGGCCTGGCCCTTAGAGAAAGGGGACAATAGCAGCCTGCACGTGGCCTCTCCAGACCCCTGCTGTGAGTCATATGCTGCGATGTTTATTCTGATTTTCAGGCTCCTGCTATAATGTGTCCTTTCCCTGTAATAAACTGCACATTTGAAAGCTTTGTCCTTTTGGGTCCCTTCTTCAGCGACTGAACCCTGTTGAAGTGCCACTGTGAGTGGTGTGCAGCTGTATATTCAATTTTCATAAGTGCTCCATGGAAAAAAGGCATATTGTTCTAGCGCGCATGTTTCCTCCAGGAAGCCATTAAATAAGATGTTAATTGTATTATTGAGTCGCCTTCTTATCTTATTTTGGTTTTATACATTTCAATGCCGTTTTATTCCATGTCGTGTGTGTGTGTGTGTGTGTGGTTTTTTTGGTCTCAAATTCTAATTTAAGTATTTTGATGTTTGGTTTCCCTTCATGTGTGTCTGTTTTGCATATATTCCCAATTTTCTTACATAGATCTTTTTGTGCCATTTTGTGATTCTTTTAAATACCATAGCACTAATTTTTTTAAATCCAGTCTGGGAAAGTTTGTTTATTTTTATTTTTCTTGTTGTTGTTCATCCTCACCCAAGGATATTTTTTTCCACTGAAAGAGTGGAAGGGAGCGGGGGGAGAGAGACACACACACATCAATAGGAGAGAGGCACATCAATTGGTTGCCTCCTGCACCTGCCCCGACTGGGCCGGGGATCGAGCCTGCAGCCCAGATACGTCCCCTTGACCAGGAATCAAACCCAAGGCCCTTCGGTGCCCAGGCAGATGCTCTAACCACTGAACCACACCGGCCAGGGATGGGAAAGCTTATTTTTAAATATGGGAGTAGCATCCATTTATATTTCTCATTATAACTAACTCATTTAGCTTATCATGTTTCATCATTTTCTTTGCCATTTCTTTTGCTTTATGATTGGTTTCTCTCCTATGAGGATTTTCTTTGCTTGTATCCTCTGTGCTTTGGAAGGCACATATACACCTTTTAGAATCGTAAGTATGACCTTTAAACATTCTGCGGATCTGGGGAAAGACACGTACAAGGTCTTTTGTTTTTTTAATCCTCACCCGAGCACATGCTTAGAGAGAGGAAGGGGAAGAGAAATGGACAGATAGACAGTCGCTGTGAGAGAGAAACATCAATCAGAACCCTCAACCTGGGCACGTGCCCTGATCAGGAATCAAACTGGTGGCAACCTTTTCGGTGCACGAGAAGACTCTCAACCAACTGAGCCCCTCCAGGTGGGCTGTACAGAGTTTTTTGATAGCAATAAAGCTTTCAGAGACTACTGAGTCATGGCAAAAGGACTCAGGAGCCTACTTAAAGTTCCAGCTAGTCACAGTTGGGATAATTTGAGCATCAGTAAAGATAACTGCATGGATTAAACACATCAAATAAGTTTGAATCCTTGAGTTCATATTACAAAAAAAACACACCCTACTATTTACCTTTCTTTTAAAAAATACTTTATTGTGCCCAGCAAGTGTGGCTCAGCAGTTGAGCATCGACCTAGGATCCAGGAGATGGCGGTTTGATTCCCAGTCAGGGCACAAGCCAGGTTGCAGGCTCGATCCCCGGCAGGGGGCGTGCAGGAGGCAACCGATCAGTGACTCTCATCATTGATGTTTCTCTCTCTCTCCCTCTCCTTTCCTCTCTCTGAAATCAATAAAGACATATTTAATAATAATACTTCATTGTTTTCCTACAGAAGAGTTTATGGCACCAGCGACATTCAGAAAACTTCTAAAAAAATATTCAAGAACAAAAATTTAAAAAGCATTTATTCTGTTGCCTATATTTCTTACATTATCAGAATTTTAAAACTGAAATGTTAATGTTCTAGTTCCTCCTGATTCAGCCAAGTTGAGCTCACTTTTACTTTCCTCCATCTTCTCTTTGTTAAGAAAATCTTAGGTTTAGATAGAGATTAATCACTTAGACTTTTAAAAACTAACTTTGTGGTTTCCACATGATCTCATTTTTGTATTGTTTTTTGATCTCTTATTATTGTGGTGTATATTTTTATTAAATTTTTTAAAGAAGTGGGTGTTGGCCCGGCTGGGGTGGCTCAGCAGTTGAGCATCAGCCCAGGATCCAAGAGATTACGGTTCGATTCCTGGTCAGGGCATATGCCCGGGCTGTGGGCTTGATCCCTAGTGGGGGGTGTGCAGGAGGCAGCCAATCAGTGACTCTCATCATTGATGCTTCTGTCTCTCTCTCCTTTTCCCTTCCTCTTTCTGAAATCAATAAAAACATGTATTTGGAAAAAAAAACAAAAACATTGATGTTTATCTCTCCCCCTCTCCCTTCCTCTCTGAAAAAAAAAAAAGTTAGAAGTGGGTGTTGGTATGGTTTGAACCCTGGGTGCATGGAAGAGCAGTTCACAGCATGGCCTCAGAAGATCAGATTGCCGAGGCTCCGTCCTAACTCTGAAGTAAGTTTGCTCTGGCCTTCAGTTTTCTCAGGTACAATGAGGATAATAAGAGTTCCTGTCTTACAGGGTTGTTCACGAAATGAATGACTCTCTCTGTATATATAGAGCACTTAGAGCAGTGCCTGTCACACAGTGCGTGTTTAATATTTGTTAGCTATTATTGTGAAAAACGTGGCGTGTACAAATCTTTGCTTACAATCTCTTTCTCTCAAGACGTCTAGCTGTGTCTCCGTTTTCTTCTGAAAGCTGATGTTGCAGAGACGTCTGAAACCAAACGGTCTTTGTTGC